ATTAATACGTGATTCATTATTTATATCTCTAACATTATTAATTGGTGAAAAATCATTACATTCGTCCCTATCACTACCTTCCAAAATGTAATTATTCTGCATACCATTATGCTGCTTTTTCACAATTTTGTCCTTTTTGGTTGTAATCTCGTTATGTACGTAGTATCTCTTAGAACACATTCTTTTTAAATGCCCTTTTGCACCACACAAATTGCACGACAGATGACGATAGCCACATACGGAGGTATCGTGTGACCTCGCACCACACACACTACACCTGGGGGCTCCGCCGTCGCCGCCACCACGGGCGCGACCGCCTCGTGTACCGCCGCTTGCAGTAGCTTTTCGCCGCGAGTCCGTATATAGCACAGGTTCAGACTTAATTAACTCCGCCGAATCGCCAGCGGAAACAATACGCTGCGCACTTTCAACTGCACAAGCTACTTCAAGTGCCTTATTTAGTTTTAGCTGATTGGGATCTTCTCTAAATAATTTTTCGCGGGCCGACGCAGTGTCAAGACCAAGTACAAAACGGTCCGTCAAACACATCTCTAGAGCTGTACCAAAACAACATGCCGATGCTAGTCCACGAAGACGAGCAGCATACTCCACCATCGACTCGTGAGGGTCCTTTTTAGCCGAATAAAACTTTTGTCTTTCAGCGTATATACACTTTTTTGGGTCGAAGTGGCCGTCAAGCGCAGCAATAATCGCCTTGTAATCGGTTGATTCAGGCGTATTTGGATACAATAAATCACGAGTAAGGCGACATGAGTCTTGTGACATGCTATTCAATAAAATTGCCCGTCTTCTCACTCTTTGAGCATCTGTGATATCGTCGATTCCATTTGCAATAAAGAAGTTGTTTAGTTGTGCTACGTGTACCACCCACTCATCTGTTTTGCAATCGAAAACTGGCACTTTCCCATAGATAGACATTTTAACGCGTGACTTCTACTGTTGGTTAATCGATTATTAATACACAAAATAAACTCGTCGCCACTGTAATGTCCTTGCTATTCAAGGAATACGGGGAACGTTTATTTAAACACACTGAACCCGTAAACGATCATTTATTTTTACAATACAGGGTAGCCGTAGAAACCGTTATTATTATCTACCGACACAATATGCTACAGATATACAAAAGAAACAGCGTTGGTGACGCAGCCTTGTGGAACACCAGCGTTGATAGGCTTGAAATCAGAGCATGCACCATTTACTACGACCTTGATGTTCCGACCAGCAAGAAAACTGGTGATCTATTTGCACAATTTCTCGGGAAGGCCATAGGAAGGATGCTTCGAAAGAAGCGCTTTGTGCCACACCCGATCGAAGGCCTTTGCTAAGACCAAACCAACGGCCAATGCCTCCAGCTTGGACTCTACTGCCTCCACCCATCTATGCGTCAGGTAGACCAGAAGATCACCAGCTGATCGACCCCGACGAAAACCGTATTGGCCGTCACTAATCAGCTGGTGATCCTCAAGGTACCTCATGAGCTGGCAGTTTATAATAGACTCCATTATTTTGGAGAACAAGGAGGTGATAGCGTTAGGCCTGTAGTTGGACGGGTCTGAGCGGTCGCCTTTTTTAGGGACTGGGTGGGCCAAAGCTGTCTTCCATTAATTCGAAACTGCACCTTGGGAGTAGGAGTACCGGAATACACGTGTTAAAATAGGTACCAACTCCGGAGCATACGTCTTCAGCACAATGGGAGGGACTCCATCAGGCCCATTCGATTTGCTGACGTCCAGGGAGAAGAGTGCTTTGCGAACGGAGCGCTGTGTAAACCGCACATCCGGCATGGAGCACTCACACCGCAGGATGATCGGCGGTGTGTTCCAACCGTCATCTAGAGTCTAGTTGGACGCAAAGAGGGAGCCTAACAGATCGGCTTTTTGCGGCATAGGCCAGTGAGTCTTCGTCTCTGTGCAGAGATGGAAGAGATGGCTGACAGAAGTTCCCTTGGGCAGCCTCAGCGAGAGACCAGAATGCACGGGTTCCCGAAGAAAGGTGAACTAGCTTCATGTGCTCAGACCTTGCCTTGGCAATGACTCTTTTGAAGGACCTGGAAGCGGAATTATACTTCTATTTAAGAGCGCTGGTGTTTACATCCCGAGACTTTGATGCTTCAGCCCAGGCCCGGTAGCACTCCTGCTTATATTTTATTTTACAGGAGCGACAAAACCGTGGCTGGGGTCTCCCTCCGATGGGCACCACAGAGGATGGAACAAAAAGTTCCATATCCTGAAGTACCACATCAGCAACAGAATTAGCAACAACGCTCGGATCTTCCGGCGAGAAGCAAACCTGCCCTCAAGGGTATTATGCAAAAAAGACCGCATCCTATCCCAATCGGCCGACCTATAGTGCCAAACACGGCGGCAGCCTGCAGAATGCAACCGCGACGTTAGTGTGAGTGACACCACACTCCGGTCAAGACACTGGTCCGACGAGCCTAAAGGAGCGTTGACGGAAACCTGATATCCGTCCGGATGAGAGGTCAGGAGAAGGTCCAACAGGGGAGGTGCATGATCCTCTACGTCTGGAATTCGCGTAGGCGAAGTATGTAGCTGAGTAAGACCATATGCCAAAGCTAAGTTATAAACAGATCTCCCCGCATGATCGGTTGAACGTGAACAAAGCCATTTGGCGTGGTGGGCGTTAAAATCGCCAAGGATCACGACCTCTGCGGATGGGATCTGCTGTAACAAGGAATCTGTAACCATTTGGACGTGGTTCATGAGTCGGTCTGTTACGACATTACCGCTCTGGGACCCATAGCGGCACCCGTGGATGCGCGGATGGTCGTCGCTGTCAACGCGTAGCCAAACGAGGGACAGTTCCGTACCTTCAAGACTGCTGAGGTGTCGAGAACAGATGTCCCCTCTGACGTATACGCAAACTCCAGCCCGGAGCACAAAGGAGTGTTCTAATTTGTACCCTGGATAGGATAGATATGAAGCAGTCGGAAAGGATATCTGAGTCTCGGTTAAAAAGAGCAAGGCCGGCTTCGCCGTCTAGATGGTAGGATTCTCCAGGGGTGCTGGTGTTGTCTTTCATTTAATTACGCTACCATGTTCATGGGGGGGGGGGGGGGGGGGGTTGGATCTCAGTGCTCTTCCTACAAGCTAGAGAGATCATTTTTCACGCTAAGACATGTAAAATCTTGGTTGACAGCAAACAGCTCTTCTACATATTCATTATTAGCCCCAGACGTCTCAAATATTATCACCTAATTTGCCAATAAAAATAGAAGACCTACATTTGTTTTATAATGTGTGCTATAAAATTGTGCAGTGTGCAATAAAGTGTGATTTACTCAACATATTTTATTTTAGTGTCCCCCTCCGAAATTTCAGGCTGTGACCCCACCCGTCTCTTGCATGAATATAATTAAAAGTAAAGTAAGAAGCCAACTAACAAAAGAAAATTCAGAGGCGTGTTTAAAACTTAAAACAACAAGTTATGAATCTTTATCCAAACTATCCAAACCATGCAAAGCCAACGCTCCCATTGAATTTGTTTGCTTAAATGTATGTTATTGTTTATTTTTATTTTTAAGTATTAGTTACATTGTTTATTAAAGTTTGGTGCGGTCCGTCACGGAGTCTCAGTCGCCTCACACAAGCTAGTAGTTAGTACCAGTTACTCGACTCCATCGAGTCAGTAATTCATTCTTGGGGCGATGTATACGCTTTTACAACAAAATTCCAGAAAATATACAAAATTTGACCTGCTCAAAGTTCAAAAACTTTATTAAACTAAGTTTGTATAAAAAGGGTTATTATAATATTAAAGAATTTATGGATGATAGTAACCCCTGGAAATGAGGTGATCGCTACCAAGCTATTTCTAATTTGTTGTGTTGTTAATTTGTGTAACATACACAATTGTAAGCTGTTATTTTAAAAAAATGTCCCGCTGGGTTTCTTGCTGGTTTATCCCAGGACAGAGGTTTTTTTTCCAAACCAGTGGTAACTAAACGAAAGAGTGACTTTCAATAAGTATTATTTATAATCTATATTGAATAAAAAAGTTTCTGTTTCTGTTTCCTCAGATGACCCAAAAGACTAAGAGTAAAGTAATCTAATATATATATATATATTAAGTGTCTGCCCCTTTCCTGTACATTGCTATGCCTTTCGAGGTGCATGTGATTGTTAAAACTTGCATGTTTTTGTTTAGTCACTAAGTCACATGTAACGCAATTTGTGAATAAATAAAATAAAATACAAAAATTATTTATTGTGAAAAACACTATATATGAATAAATATATATTTTTCTTATGGATAAATAGATAAGTTTTTTTTTTATCAAAAACTTTATGCAAGTACTATTTATGGTTGGCAAGAAAAAATTTGTGGCTCTGAAAACTGAAATTTTGTAAATTGTTATTTTTGGCCCTTCCGACTCAAAAGGTTGCCAACCCCTGCTCTAGGCTAATGGAATGACACTTAACTGTCAAAGTTCAGTAACAACTTCTATTTATGAGAAGTTTTTTGGAAGTTTCCAACTGCTATCAGTGAAGGTGTGGTCTTAAGGATTGTATATTGAGTTTATACTTAAGATTGTGTCTGAAGTGAAGTAAGAAACATAATTTATGGAATTATTTTTTCATAACATGGAACTATGTTAATGCCATAAAAATAAAACTTAGTATAAATTTTTATATTTATTCAAAATCACTGTTATCCCAGGGCCATACAGATCAAATGAAAAACAATTGATCTATTCTAACAAGCATATAATGAATAAAAACAGAATTTACACTTTTTACATCTTCATCAATGGATGTTCAGCCATTCATTTCACATAGTTAATTCCATTGAACAACATGTAAAAGAAACCAGAACTAAACACTAAACCGAGTCAGGGTCACAATATGTCTTAGATCAATTGCAAATTAAACAATTATAGTTTATGTTATGGTATTTGACTTTAAGTCATTTTCACATTTGATCTAAGGCAGTTGCAATTAGTTGCACTAATTTCTCTATTCATAAATATCTTCTTTGTCTGCCACATATTGTATGATATCTTTTGGCCTTACAAGCCTCTCTGCGTCACTGTCAGGAATTTCGAAACCAAATTCATCTTCCATTGCCATAATGACCTCAACATGATCAAGAGAATCAAGCCCCAAATCATTCATGAAATGGGAATCTACAGATAGCTGAAAAAGAAATAAACAGAATTAGCTACTATAACTTTTTAGTTTAAATTTTTATTCAACTACTTTTGATAAAAAAAAAATTCAAAGATGTGTAGTCTGAACAGGAACTGGGGCAGTGCAATGACAACTTATTAGCCCCAAAACCCTCTCAGAAATGAGATGTGCTACTGCGTATTAACTAGGTGAGTGTGAGACACGGTTGCAGAGGCAAGAGAGGCAGTCATAGGCAAACTTTTTACACATGGCTAATAATTCTTTTTATTTTACAAAGTGATTAAATTTGATATTTTTTAAAACACCTCTAATTGTTAAAGATATACAAATGATTCCTTTTATATTTTACAAAAAATCTACAGTATTATTTACATATAACATTTTAACATATTTCTATGTAAAATTAGACTTAAAAGTACATCTTATGACAAGAAATCCACGAAAATATTTATACTAGTATCTAAGAAGTTATATCTACATTTCTTTGAATATAATCAAATACCCTCTAATAAATGTTAAAAAAGGGTAGAAATAAGCTACCTTGTCAGGGTTAATTTTGTCATATAGTTGGAGTACAAGCAGTACCCTACTTTTAATAAGCTCTAGGGTGAGTGGTGGACCACCGCTGTAGTTGCGGACGCAGAATTTCGGGTTCTGAAACAAAATTAAAAAAATTGCTCAGTACCTTAGTACCACTCAGTTTGTCGTAAGTCCTGCACACTTTCATCACTCTTTCTTCAATTTGCTGCGGTGAGGGTTTAGATTGCGCGCCGGACGAGTACTGTCGTGTGCTCTGTGCATACACCTAAACAATTTTTGCAATAATGTACACATTCGTTATGCAATAACAAGATTGAGGTTATACTGTAGTTACAATTCAATGAATAAATAAACAATTGTTTAAAAACGCCTTTTGGGAAAATCTTTTAAGCATATTAAGATCAATGCTATTGCTAATGCTAAAATGAAAAGAGATAAAATTAATTGTATTGATTGATAATATCCTTACCCCATTTTGAACTTGGTAGCTTAACTTAGCAATGGCTTTAACCGCATAAAATTTTTGTACCGTAGCTACAGTAGATAACCGGCATACAACCGGAATTCTGTAAGATGTGGATTTTCGTAATAATCCATTAAATGCACTACGAACAATATTCGCAGCAGCCATTTCGACTCAATATTTTCATAGACAAATGAAAAATCGCACAGAAACTAGAACTCGCAGTCGCGCAGTAAGAATGGCATAAAGAAATGTCATTGTTTTTTTTTTTAGCATCACAGTTACAGATTATTAATTTATAATTTATTTATTGCCAGTTTTTCATTATAGTCACAAACTAATAAGAAGTGCTAGCGCATGATTATAGTTTATAGCAATTAAGAGTTTTAATATTTAATCATGGCGATAGAAAATATTTTAACAAAGGTAGTAGTAATAAGAATATATTTTAAATAAAAAATTAAGTAACACCGTAAACCACCTAAGACGTCTACGTACGGTGATCAGTAATCAATATCTAGTAGTGTAGTACGTATAGGCTTGCGACAATAAATAGCAAAAAAACTAGTAATATCAATTATATTAATCTCACAATATTGCTATTGTTGCGCGGCACTATTAATGTCTTGTATATGGCACATGGCACATGGCTAGTGGCAACACTAGTTCCCACTAGCGCCCTCTAGGGTAGAGTAGCAGAACTAGGAGAGTCAAGATCCTTCTAGAAATTTCGAGACCGATATGTACTCGAACATTCTAGATGTCGCTACAGTAGAAGGTTCTGGAAACTATCTAATGCCCTATATAAGGCCCATATAGACCACGACCGAGGCAGTATTGAATTGGCGATACAAGAGAATATTTCGAAGCGAAACAACTGCGAACTTAAGTGATCAATAGTACAATTGTGTTAAATTATTCATGTGGTTTTAGATTGTAATTAGTGTTGTGTAATTAAAGTGTCAATTTTGGTAATTCAATCGGCAGGTTTTTAATTGTCTCGAACCCTAAGCTCGTAACAATTGGTGTCAGAAGTGGGATCAAATATGCCGATTTTACCAAAGGACGATATGGATGGTATCCATATCGTCCTTAATTAATATATATGTGGCGGCGCTGTCGTCGCGCCACAAGCGAAACACATCGAAGCCTAAATCGCGCTATCAAAGTTCCGAAATTAAAGCAGCATATATAGAATAGCTCCGAACTACCAATCGGAGCGTCGACCGCTCCCCGGGCAGAACACCTTGCCTGGTGGGAGATCTCCCCTTTTCCTTCCACCCGCTACAGTGGTGACCCCGACGTGATCTGAACACGCAACCAATAACCTTCGGAAATTACACCTTCAAACCTTCATCATCCTTAAGTGCCCCATTCATTCGCTCCCGAGCAGACATTGTCTGCAGTCTTCACATTCTGCAAGCCATCTAGCTTTACAAAAGGTTCATCGCAGCACTGGAATAATAATGCTTCCTGTTCCTTCAAGCTACTCTCTGCGCTACAGTGTTCGGCACGGCTCTGAGCCTTACTGCTCGCCTCTGCTTCACGGCACTCTCGCAGATTACTTGCCTTCTTCTCGAGTCACCGCAGACTACAAGGCAATCCCTGGCACTTGCTCCGGCTCATCGTTCTCACCGACATCACTTGCAAGTGCGAACGATATGCCGGTATGCATTACACACCGGCATATCGTTCGCACCGGCGTCACTTGCCCTTACGCACACAGCATGCATTCCCCACCGGCATTAGGGACGCACCTGCAATCGGACTGCACTATCGACCTCCGGTCTGAGCAGGGGGGTGAAATGGCGGCGCTGTCGTCGCGCCACAAGCGAAACACATCGAAGCCTAAATCGCGCTATCAAAGTTCCGAAATTAAAGCAGCATATATAGAATAGCTCCGAACTACCAATCGGAGCGTTGACCGCTCCCCGGGCAGAACACTTTGCCCGGTGGGAGATCTCCCCTTTTCCTTCCACCCGCTACATATACGCTATCAAATTAGAATAACCAAATTCGCGGTAAATTAGGCGCGCCTAACACGCAATTCAGACTTTGATCGCAGTCAATGTTATCTTCCTAACAATTTGTCAGCCCGGCTTCGAATTCTAGACTTAACAAAGAAACCTTCGTCGTGGCAACGTCTGCTAACAAAACCGACTGCAAAAATGGAGGTTTCCTGGGCGACCTTAAACGTGCTCTCGATAGCACAGTATTATAGCAACTGTTCGACTCGACCCCGCCGCCGGTAGGAACTAACTCTCTCGCGCGAACGTCAAACCGGTACGAATGCACCGCGCCGAGCGCCCTCTGGCGTTAATTCTTGAAATTAGCGTTAGGCGTGAACAGTGGCATTTCTCGGGGGTGGCCTATGTTCAGCAGTGGACTTAAGAAGGGCTGTAATGATGATTATGATGATGATGATGATGAAGTAATCCACAGATGACCTTTGTTGTTATATACTGTATATGAATGATACATTTAATGAATGTGTAAAACATCTGGAAATATTCCAAACCTCGCTGTTTATGTAAAAAATCTAACAGTTGAGCCCACCGGAACCGGCCGCTTAGAAATACTTTCAAACTATTTATCCATGGTGTTGGGAGATGTGACTTCATAGCGTGGTTTGGTGATTAAGATTTGTTTTCAGGATTTGTTATAGCTTAAAACCCAATTACTACTTTTTCAGGTCATCTGGGGGCACGGCAGTGCCAACGCAAAGTTGAGCTAAAATACGACACGGCCGTACCATCCTTTTCTCGAAGCAGTTCAGGCCATTTTCGCAACCCTATAACTTCGTTGTGGATAGAACTAGAAGCCTGAATTTCAGTCACCAAGTAGGCATTGTATAAACTCTGTATATTTCAAATTTCATTACATTTGAACCAGTAGTTTAAGAAGTATAACTAGTCAAAGTTTCTTAATTTTGTCACTCACTCACTGAAGGATCATCAAAACTCTAAGGCACTTCTAGCTGGTATAGAAGCTTCAAATTTAGAATGCAATGATTGTTAAGTATATAAATCAAGGAAAAACTAAAATATTTTGCAATGTCAGTCCAGTTTTCGAAATACACCAACTGCATACATAACTTTGTAATCCCATATTAAATATATAGGATTACAAAGTTACATTTGCAGTGAATGAATCAGTGTACATATATATGTATAATATAATTAAATAATAGGTTTAGATAGGTACCTAGATATAACTATCTACAAAAAGCAATGAGATGCCATTAAAACATAATTTGTAAAAAAAACCTCGCAACTCGCAACTCATTTCTTCAACCGTAAAAAGTTGTGAGATCCATGTAATACCAAGTCGGTTAATTTATTCAGTCCCTATTTAAGGGTCCTTCTGTCTTAAGTTATTACGTAATTAGCTAACCTAACAACATCTAATAGTAACTACATCAATACTAAAAATCTTTGATATTTTAAATAAATAGATCGCACCCATTGTAACTGTAAATTTTAGGTGCAACAATGAGCAAATCAAGGAGGAGCTTTAGGTTAGTGACAATCACAAAGCTCAAGAAGAGCAAGCAGAAAATAAATTTTAAGAAATTTCTTAGTGCCCTATCATTAGGATAGGAGAGAATTGGTAGGAGGTGGCAATCCGGCCCATAGTTCTCACCGGCATTACTTGCTAAATACATCATTTCCTACTACTCACTATTCTCTGTTTCGTCCACAAACTAATAAGAAGTGCTATTTCATAGACATAGTATCTTATAGACTAAACATTCAGTGACGTCATCAGCGTGTGAAAGGAATGCACGTATATAGTTAGACATAAGAGTAAGGGAGAAGCAAATCTATATTTCTTGTCTTTTTCTAGGTATGCGTTTTTGATTGTTTTCCCTCCTTTATTTGACATTAACGATGTCAAGCTCTTTTGAATAATATTGATATTATAAGCAAACAGGTAATTGAATTTAGTGTTTTTTGTGGATCTTAGTTATTAGGTAAGGTTAAAAAGATGGTAAGTTGTAGCATTTTAGGATGCAACAGCATCAGTCAACGAAAAATTGATAATATTACCTTTCATCGGTAAGTTTGTTTTGTGCTTACATTTGCTACTTGTACTGATTAATATCTATTGTTTTGAATATAAAGTGTAACATTTCATGTTTTTAATGAACTTTGTGATGTATTTTGTCAAATATTTGGACTCCCAAATTGTAAATTCTTCATGATAATGCTCCTTAATTTGAACGGTCATTCGAAAGCTTAAAGTCATAACAAACGTGTACTTTTTGATTTGGTAGGATTATAGAAACTTTTGGGATATCAGCGAGTACAATAATGTTTTCGCATTGTTCAATAATAATTGTTGTTGTGATTAGTAGTTATGTCCATAAATATGAATCACATAATGTTATACATATACATACACTTTTATGTTCAGCTTTAAAGGAAACTCCTTATTGCCCTACAACTCTTCAATCATTTTCAATATTACATAGACTTCACAAATAATATGTAAGTATCAACCTGAAAACATGTTTGGATTCAAGTACATAAATATTGGGCAAAGTATATTTAATTTCACAAAATATGTATTGCCTGAAATCAGGTGCACAAAACTTTATTGCATTCCATTAATTCTATTATACATTAGGAACAATTACATTACAATATTTATTTAAAAAAATATGTCATGCTAATATAAAAATAAATATAAATATAGATAAAATAATAAATAAATAAATAAGTCTTAATCTTAAGGTACACAATAACACAACAACATAAGATAATATTCTCAATTAATGAAGTAGAAAAAATTTGATGATAATATACTTACCGTTACCATTAGTCAGTATCAAAAGTTATAGGTTTTGTGATAGTTGCCTAGCTGGGAAGGAGAATTGGCAACTGCAGTTATTTGCAGACAAACTGTGTGGGAGGTCTATGTTCAGCGGCGGAGGACATTTGTTAGGCTGTAAATGTATTCATTAACAATATCTAAAGCTTAATATGTACATAATTTTTTTAAATGTTTGGTATGAATAATATTATCATTACATTTACATATACTTGCTATATAATTAAATCAATTGATATTATTTTAATTGTTATAGGTATTGTATTTATGCACAGATACACATACTTGATTTTTTTGTTAAATACCTCGATATAAAAGTGTACTATATATTTAAT